GACTTCCAAACTGATGAAAAACGACACATGCTATAGTATGACTTCCAAACTGATGAAAAACGACACATACTATAGTATGACTTCCAAACTGATGAAAAACGACACATGCTATAGTATGACTTCCAAACTGATGAAAAATGACACATACTATATAGTATGGCTTCCTAATTGATGAAAAACGACACATACTTTAGAATAACTTCCAAATTGATGAAAAACGACACGTACTATAGTTTAACTTCCAAACTCATGAAAAACGACACATACTATCATATGACTTCCTTTCTGATGAAAAATGTCACGTACTAAATAGTATGACTTCCAATTTGATGAAAAACGACACATATTATACTATGATTTCCTCTCATGAAAAATACACATACTAATCTATGACTTCCAAACTGATGAAAAACGACACATACTATAGTAAGCATTCCTAACTAATGAAAAACGACACATACTATAGTATGACTTCCAAACTGATGACAAACGACACATACTATAGTTTGACTTCCAAACTGATGAAAAACAACACATACTATAGTATGACTTCCAAACTGATGAAAAACAACACATACTATAGTTTGACTTCCAAACAGATGAAAAAGAACACATTCTATAAAATGACACACACTATAGAATTACTTCCAAACTGATGAAAAATGACACATACTATAGTATGACTTCCAAACTGATGAAAAACGACACATACTATAGTAAGCATTCCTAACTGATGAGAAACGACACATATTATATAGTACGACTTCCAAACTGATGAAAAAAGACACATACTATAGTATGACTTCCAAATTCATGAACAACGACTCATACTTTCATATGGCTTCCTAAATGATGAAAAATGACACACTATAATGACTTCCAAACTAAATAAAAATAACCAGATAACCAGAAAAATAACCAGACATATCCCACTTATCACCAAAATATTCCCAGCAGACTCCTTTGGAGTTTAGTAAACGGCACTCTATTTACTTGAAGACCTTGAATATTAAAATTAATTGACCCAATTAAACAAAACTACATGATTGGGTTTTAAAAAAAGAAAATACATGTTTACCTGAACAACACCTCTTGAGCATGAGACAATTTAGTGTGCTTTAGGAAACTTTTTGATATTACATTGACACAACATAATAATATTAAGTCCTTAGTGACTTCACTTATGAGCCACTGAAAAGAGATCCAGGAAGTGGTTACAAGAAGAAGTTGATAGATGCTTGAAACATTTGGAGCAGGACAAGGCTGTTGACCATATTCTGTACCACAGATTGTATCCAGGGGCCACGTCTTGTCTGTATGGGTTACCCAAAAATCAAAAACAGGATGTACCATTAAGACCAATACTCAGCACTTAATTGGCAGCTCAGAACATCACCTATAGAGCACCATGGATTTTGTGGATAAGGTGAGGGATGCCATCATGGAGACTGATGAAACAATGGACTCTTTTGATGTCACATCATACTTTACATGCATTTCTTTTGATGAAGCAGTGGAGGTGACCTGTTTAAAGTCAAAATCAGACACCACTTTTTAGCCACCATTCTCACCAGGCAGGACCACACTTTCCACAGAACTACTGTGCCAACTCTTGAAACTGTGCCTGCAATCAACCTACTTCACATATGAGGGGCAATATCATAGGCAGAAACATGGGTGTGCTATGGGGTCTCCAGTTTTTCCTGTTGTTGCCAACCTGTATCTGGAGGAGGTAGAAACGACAGCTTTCATGTCCTTTTCAGGGACACCAGCGAGCCATTGGTTCAGGTATGTTGATGACTCTTGGGTTAAAATTAAATCTCAGTAAGTCCAACATTTCACTGATCACATCAACTCTGTGGATAAATATATAAAGTTCACATGAGAAGATATAAAAAATGGCAAGTTGGCTTTCTTGGACTGTGAGGTCTCACTTTCTGATGGAGGTCATTTGCAAACTGAGGTGTACCACAAACCCACCCACACAGACCACTACTTGTTGTTTGACTCCGATCACCCTCTGGAGCACAAGTTAGGAGTCATCAGGACTCTGTACCACAGAGCAGACAGCGTCCCCACTAAATCGGGAGCCAGGCAGAAGGAGAAATCCCACACAAGACAGGCTATAGAGCAATGTGAATATTTTAATGGGACCTTCCTGAAAGCAGAGAAGAAACCCAAACAGGACTCCAGTCAGCCATCAGGTGAAAAGGAGGAACTCAGACCCAGACCAGTGGTCATTCTGTATGTTGAGGGGGTATCAGAGAAACTGAGACGTTTATTTTCTAAACATAACGTCCCAGTGGCTTTTAAACCCCAAAATGCATTACGGCAAAGACTGGTTCATCCCAAAGATCCAGTCCCCCGGCACAAACCGAGTAATATTGTGTATGCTGTTCAGTGTCAGGAGGGCTGTGATCAGTCTTACATCGGGGAAACTAAACAGCCCCTGTTCAAAGGATGGCCCAGTACAGAAGAGCAATGTCATCAGACCAGGACTTTGCAGTCTACACTCATCTCCAGGCCAGATGTCACTCTTCCAGGGATGAAGATGTTCACACCCTTGATAGAGAGAAAGAATGGTTTGAGAGATGAGCAAAGGAGGCCATCTTTGTGAAGAGAGCCCATCAATCGTTAAACAGGGGCGGAGGCATCCGTTTCCAATTGTCCTCCTCTTATAATGCTGTTATTGCTAGTATCACTCAGCCCTCTGTGAACAACAAGTGGCCACCAGGGCACTAACAATCAATTGTTAGGCTGGTGGTCCTCCTTTTGCATGTGAACAACTAGTTTTAGCTGTCACCAGCAAGCTGGTTGATCTACTATGAGAACATGCTGTTTATAAGACTGACTTTGCTTACAGCTCCTCAGACTGAAGAAGTCTTTTAAGAATAAAGAATGTCTCCACAAAGAAAGGACCCGACTCTAACTTGTTACATACAAAAAGTTACATTTATTGTGCAAAATCATAGGAGCCTGTGATTGACAACATTGGTTTTGTTGTATGCACAGATATGGTTTGAAGGCTAAAACTGGATTATTTAAATTCTGGGTGTTTGCAATCTCTTTTTATTTTTCATTGTGAACAACAGCCGAGTTTATTGTCCTCCTCTGTAGAAGTACCGTTTAGTCACACACAATGAATTCCTTGATATAATCCAGAATAGCAATGACCTCTCAGCTTTAGGTCTGTATCCTGCATAGATCATTATCAGGAACTTTTCATCTGCTTTGGATGCAAATGAAGAGGTATGATAGATAGCTCAGAAAACCGAGTACTGTTGTGTATGCGTTTCAGTGAGATGTCTATGGTAATATTGTCTGACTCTCTGAGCTTCTAGTCGGAAATCTTTTATGCAAAGTCACCTAAAGAGGCCATAAGTTGGTAAAGCCCCTTCCCTTCATATTTGGCCAAAACATGAAAAGACCCCTTAAAATCTCCTTGTCTAAGTCTGAGAAGCAGCATAAAACCTTGGGCTTGGAGGCTCAAATGTGCAAATATATGAGAAGCAAACACATCGTGCAGAGCTGGCTTAGAGTTCCTGAGTGGCTTGACTCGTCAGCATTTCGTTAACCTCGGGTTGGCTTCAGCCTGGGACATGCCGCCACACTTACAGTATTCACCTGGGGCATCCAGGAGACAAACGTCGACTCTAATCTACGGACGCACATGGTGCAGGTGAACAAAGGAAGGATAAGGGACAGAGAACAGGGGCTCAGTGCAGAGGCTCTACCATGTCATGGTATTTATGGCCCGTGTGAAACTGACAGAATAGATACGACGCCTGAGGACAGAGTTGAAGCAGGGAGAATCATGTGGATGAGCCAGATTTGTTTTGGAAGCCAGGCAAAGATAGAGAGACAAAGTGGAGTTTTGTGAAGCTCTGAAATCTCTGTGGCTCAAGCTTTGTTCTTCCAGACACACCAGTGACCCATTAAGTAGCGTTTTCATTAACTCCAATGCTCAGCTTATGGAGCTGAGAATAGACTAAGAGCCTCATTCACTGTACATTTTTCTATTCCTACAGGTAAAAATAAGAATTAGATTTCCATTGACATTGGTCAGAAGGGCATCCCTAGGAAAGCGATCTCAATAAATGAACAAATGAATGAGCCAAACAAATGAATCATATTTTCCTTAAAGCTATAAAGCTAGCTGACAAGGAAAAAAGATCATTGGATGCAAATCTGAAGCTACTCCGCTGGACATTTCAAAACTAAATGA